TAGAGAGGAGTGAGGCTTGACCTGGAATCGTTGAGAGGGAATAAAGGATGCCATGCCGGCCTGAATCCATGAAGTTATGTAAGAAGCACATTTGTCAACAGGGAGACAAAAGATTTCTACCCAGGGGCCATCACGAAGAAAATCACGGAAAGAGTCCCAGTCAGCTTTAAGGTAGTTGTAAGATGTACGATGATAGGGGGGTTCTGATAGTAAAGAAGAATGAGATAATAGTTTTAGAGAGATCAAACCATGATCAGAAGCACCTAAGGGTGAGTGTGAAGAAACTGAGCACTGACTAGGATCAGAAACAAGACATAAGTCGAGTAGAGAAGGTAAATGATTCGGGTTGTCTGGAAAGCGAGTTGGAAAGTTGACTATTTGAGTTAGGGATTGAGAAAGACAAAAGTTGTGGGCCTTAATGCCTGCAGAGTCACTGACACTAGAGTAAGTCATTCAGTGTGATGAACATTAAAGTCACCGACAACAACAATATTGGCTGATGGATAAAGAATGAGGGCTTGGTCAATATAATCAGAAATAATATCAAGAAGAGTGCAGTCTTGAGATGAGGGAGAGTGATATAGAACAAAGAGAAAGGTGATAGAGTGAAGTGGTGCTAAACAAAAGCACATAAAAGAGTAGTCTGTGGATTCAAACCTAGTTTCCCAACAAATGGGTGAATTCTTACGAATGTAAATGCCCAGGCCAAGCATATGACTATTGGAGTCCTTACGAATCAAAGGAAGATAACCATCAACACTAAGATCACAAGATGAGACAGCTGAATTCAAATTAGTCTCACAAAGAGCAAGTAGGTCTGGTGAACTTTGCAAGAGATAAGACTCAACAGAACAAAAGTTACTTCGAAGACCACGAATATTGGTGAATGATAGGTTTAGCGAACTTGGTGATGACTGTGGTTTTTTTGTGTTTTATAGTTTTTGTTATTTTATTCATTTTTAAATTTGTTAAAGAACTTGAATCAAAACATAGATAGTACTCAGTACACTGCTTTATAGCTCAAGCAATTGCCTCATTTCCACTAATAAACCCTAAGCCGTAACAAAGGGCTCCAATGTGGCCTTGGCAATGCACACCAAAAGTACAAACAGGGACACCATTCATGCGCAACATGGCACTGTTAGTACTCTGATATCTTTCAGCTGTTGATGGAATCAGCCTCTCTGAGAGCTACCACAGAGTTTGGGAAATCTGACCAGCCGGCCTCAGAACCATAAAACTGAATTTTAGAGCTGTACCCTCATTTGGAGATAATAGAATGAGTTGCCTAGTCATAAAAACAGAGACACAAGCAAAACCCATGCATCGAGTCAAGAAGATCCAGCGTTCAACATCCTAAACTGGAAACAATGTATTAAAAATACATCTGCGCCAGCCTAATAGGTGGAGAAGGGGTGCAAGGCTGGTCAACAGATAGAATCTGTGTACCCCTGCGTAGGAGGCCTTCTACAAGACAGCAGCCGGATGCATTAAACATCTGCCCAAGATGAGTATTTTTATCGAGACACCATCTCTAGCTTTTACTCAACCAAGAGCCCCAAGGCAGGAGGTGTTTTATGTCGGAGTTTGCATCTCCTAGCCTTTGCCTAAAAAGGCAGCAGGACATGAAGCAGACTGTACTGGGTTACATGTTACCAGTAGCAGGATAAACCTGACCTGACCAGTTTTAAATTGAAGGTTTTATTGGTATCCAGTTTTAAACTGAAGGTAACCAGCAATGTATACTAATGCCATTTTAACAGCATCTGTAAAACTAGATTCTATTATGTTTAAAGAACCAAATATTTCATATTATTTTGCGTTAGTTGCCCTGACAGTACATGCAACTATGACCAATGTCAAGTTTATGAAAATCTAAATTATTTTATAAAAATACATTGGAGCATTAAGTTTGGAGTATTAGTTTTTTGGCCATTCAACTAAACCTTATGTATGGGTATTTCTTTAGATGTTTTAATGGAAAGCATTTTATTCCTTTTGTTTCAATTATGGCAATCCTCAACTTCCTTAAATAAAAAAAAGTAGCTGTTGATGGCAAAGGTCATCTGGTGATTCAATAACAGAACACAACAGGTCTTCTAACCTTTTATCATCACCATGTTTGTGAACATTAAAACCTCTATATTTAACATTGATTTGATATATTTTAGGAGAAAAGAGTTTCTTTAAAAAAATTTCAAACACAAAGAAACATTTTGTCATTCAGGTTTTGGAAAGATTGAAGCTGTATTCAAATGTGAGAGACTCGCCAGTGTCTTATTTTTACAACCTTGCAAATAAAATTATCTTCAATTTCTTTAAATTGTATTTCTTGAGTTTAGTCAGTAATCTAATTATTTCTTATGTTTTTTCATATATGACCATAATTGAAAAAATTATTATTCTTTTTAGTTAATCATGGTTTTGCTTTAACAGTTTCAAAGAGAGATAAAAACCTAAAATTGACTTTATTATTGTCACATAGAATCACACTTGAAATAAGAAAAAAAACAAAATTTCTGGGACTGAGCTGATTATGTATTTGAACTGTTCATAGTTTTGGATAGTTTGCTGTTTTGAGAAAATTTTATAAACAAACTAGAAACGTTTATCGGTGCTAGTGTTTTTACAAGAAAAATGAGACCAAAAACTTCTAAATTAAATTATGACAAATTTATTTACTAATCAACAAGGAGAGTGCACTTTTAACAGCAGATGAAGTATATATTAAAGCTCCATTAGCTTACTACATTAGCTTTTTAGGAAATCAACCAGAAAAATGAATTAGCTTTTTGGGAAATCAATGAATCAACCAGAAAAATGAATTAGCTTTTTGGGAAATCGATGAATCAACCAGAAAAATGAATTAGCTTTTTGGGAAATCGATGAATCAACCAGAAAAATGAATTAGCTTTTTGGGAAATCGATGAATCAACCAGAAAAATGAATTAGCTATTTGGGAAATCGATGAATCAACCAGAAAAATGAATTAGCTTTTTGGGAAATCGATGAATCAACCAGAAAAATTAGCAAAAAGAATATTAATCATTATAATTAATTTTATAGTGTGATCTATTTTAATTTCTTGATTCAAATTTTCAGAATGAAGTAGTATTTATTCTATACTTAGATTAATTTCAAATAAACGTGTTATTGGTGTTCTTACAAGTAATATACAATAGTAGTAAGTAGCAATAATAGTGTAATAATAATAGATTCTAAGGACAAGCTCATTTTCTACTATTACACAAATTACATTTATACAAAAGCAATGTTTTTTTTTCTTACACACATCTCATGTTTGTTTTATTTTATAATTGTTTTTTTACTATATTTATATTAATACTTGTTATATTATGTCATTTATTACTATTTAAGGAAAATTTACTGGTATTGCTCTATATGTTATTATTATCTTACAATATTGTTTATTACAACATAATTTTGTGTGTTTGAGTCTGCTTCTTACTTCAACTGTCCTACTTAGTTTTGACAGTTTTGACTGTCTTACATGTTTCAACTGTCTTACTTAGTTTTGACAGTTTTGACTGTCTTACATGTTTCAACTGTCTTACTTAGTTTTGACAGTTTTGACTGTCTTACATGTTTCAACTGTCTTACTTAGTTTTGACAGTTTTGACTGTCTTACATGTTTCAACTGTCTTACTTAGTTTTGACAGTTTAGACTGTCTTACATGTTTCAACTGTCTTACTTAGTTTTGACAGTTTTGACTGTCTTACATGTTTCAACTGTCTTACTTAGTTTTGACAGTTTTGACTGTCTTACATGTTTCAACTGTCTTAGTTTTGACAGTTTTGACTGTCTTACATGTTTCAACTGTCTTACTTAGTTTTGACAGTTTTTTTGGACAGTTATTATTATTCGATTGATTATTGTTTGACAGTTTTATTTTTCCATTTTATATGAGTGTGTTTGTATGTGTGTGTATATGCATGTGTATTTACTTACATAATTTATAATTAATAAATAATATTAAATCATAAAGCTATAGATAACTAAAATAAATCACTATCAAAGTAAGAAAAATAAAACACAATCAAGGTAAGGAAAAGAAAAAACAATCAAAGTAAGGAAAATAAATCATAATCAAGTTAAGGAAAATAAAACACAATAAAGGTAAGGATAACAATTTAACATGGTTCATTGAAATAAATAATCAAACCTTTAAAAAAAGTCTCATGGAACCTATTTAACTAAAATGTTTAATATAAAACATATTTGGAAATAGGTAATTCAGCCATCTTTCTTAATTTTTAAGGACTAAATTTATTTTGTTATCAAGGACTTAATTTATTTTGTTAAACATTTAAATGGTAAACCATGAAATATATAACATTTTAAGTGCTAGATTATAAACTCAGCATATAAATAATTTAGATGATATAAATTGTACATAAATATATTGATAGACACTTGCAGCATAAACTATATACACCAACTGATCAGTTTTGATAACACATGCAGCATAAAGTATATAAACCAAATGATCAGTTTGGATAACAGACGCAGCATAAAGTATATAAACCAATTGATAAGTTTGGATAAGAAAAGGTACCATCCTAATTGCCTTTATTAATAGTGTATTAAATTAGACCATTTTTGTTTATTTCATAACTTGAGAGGAAAACATTTTTCATGAAGGACAAAAATAAAAATTTTAATGAAAAAAAATCTAGCTAGGTCAAATGGTGTCCACTGGACACTGTCTAGTAAAATATTTTGATGTACACATATTGTTACACATAATATATATGCTGAATAGTAATTAATTTCTAGGTGTTACATAGTGTTAACATGATACTAAAAATTCAATCTGCAGAAGCTTCAATACATATATTGATTGATGGTCAATATACCCCTCTTCTTATCTTTTTTATTTTTGTTAAAAGATTAAAATGTCTATTAAAAATGGAATTTTCTGCAAATATGCTCCAATCAACCAATTCAGTGATAGTAATTTAGTATTTAAGTAAATAATAATTTAATCAAACACTTAAAAAAAAAAAAAAAAAAAAAAAGCTTGAAAGTTACCTTCTAAAATTTTTTTAATATTATTATTTTTATTTTTCTTTTCATTTGGAGAATTTTTTGTTTCCATTTGGAGTTTTTCTAAAACGTTACGTTTTTTCTCTGTTCTTTTTACAACAAAATTAGAAATACTCCTACAAACATGACCTGCTGTTACAACCTCACCTTCGTCAGAATTTTTTGAACTTTCTTCATTAATAACCTAAACATAAGTAATTGTTAAAATAATTTTAATGAAATCTTTTTTCACTACAATTTTTACAACAACAAATGGCAAATTCCATTATAAAACAATATTATTTTTTTTATGGTTCCACTATAAAAATTAACATTTATTACCAATTTTTAAAATTAATTTAAATTGTAAAAACGCAAGAATCAGTTATTTTGAAAACCTCATTTTTGGATTCAAGTGTTGGGGACTAAAACAACCAAAGATTGAAAACACCAAATCTGGCTTGGTTGGGAAGCGGGAGCGATCGCTCTCGATTGCTGACCACCTAAATAATATTTAGTTGCGAAAAGCTGGCCAGATTTTTTAGTCGTTTTGAAAACATTTTAAAAAGCAAAAAAAAAAAGCGACCAAGATTAATTGGTCCGATGAGAGACAATAACAAAAAAAAAAAAAAAATAGGCAAATAAAATATCTTTAAACGCAAAAAAACTTAAAGCTAAATAAATTACATTTAGAACAAATATTTTCGAAACATTGCTCTTTTATAATTTTTTTATAAAATTAAGCGATGTTTTTTATATAAAGTAACAACTTACGATTGTTTAAAAGAGAAACAAATATTCTTTATTTAACTAAGTTTGCAAGTTTTAGTTTTACTTGAGCTAAATTATTTAATAAATAAAAAAGTTAATTTTTTTAATACCTATTTTATGTTTCGTGTAGTTTGAAAAGTTTAACATATTTGAAGCGATTCTTCTTAGTAAGATAAACAAATGAAATAATTAAATCATTGAATTACTATAGGAATTAAATTATCAAGATAGAAATCAACTAAAAAGGTTAAAAATACTTAATGACCAGGAAACAAAACTGCTTCACAATATTGCTGATGATGTTTAGTGAGTGGGCTTTTTAATTTTAATTAGTATTTAAAGTAGAAAAAAGTATAACGAGTTTTAAGAATGGCAACTTAAGCGAAAATAATTAGAGTTAGTAAACCAATATCTAGAAACTTTATTTTTTATCTAATTATTTGCTATATATATTTGTGCATAGTCATAAGAATAAATAGTCTGGAAACACGGCCTGCGAACAATAGTTTTTGCGTTGATGTTAGGTTCTTGTACCCAGCCTACTTTAAGGTGCAAAACAAACAATTTTTTATAGTTTAACTATAAGTACAATGCCTGGAGCAAATTGTTCAACATATGGTTGTACTACTTCTCATTATTCACACGGTATAGCTATATTCAGTCTTCCTAAAGGTCAGGATAACTATAATGTTGAATGGAGAAGAAAATTGATTGAGATTATCACAAAAGATCGTTTGATTGATTCAGCATTAAAAAAACAAATTGCCAGCAAATCTTTACATGTATGCGAAAAGCATTTTGAAGATCACGAAGTTAATAGAAGTAAGCTATGTGTTCACATATTTAAGTGTGTGTATATATATATATATATATATATATATATATATATATATATATATATATATATATATATATATATATATATATATATATATATATATATATAATATATATATATATATATATATATATATATATTATTATATATATATATATATATATATATATATATATATATATATATATATATATATATATATATATATATATATATATATATATATATATATATTATCTTAAATAAGTCTATTATTAGTTCATTGTTTTAAAAATATTGAAACAACATTTTTTTATAGATTCAGCTAGAGCAAGACTTATACCAGGATCTTTACCTTCAAAAAATTTACCAAAAAGGAGCGTTCAAACATCTAGGTAAAAATTTTAAAAAGATATATTTTTTAATTTTTCATTTTTCATTTAAAAGTAGTTTTTTCTTTTTCCTTTTTTTAGTTCCTTAGCAATATCAAAACTTCCAACATTAAGTATTGAGTTGAAAAAAGATTGCTGTGAAATTGACAAAGTTCAAAATGATGTACATTCTTTTTATAAACCGTTTTCAGAATTTGTAGATTGTGTCAGCACCCTTATGCTGGAATCATGGGAACTTGTTATATCAAAAGATTTAGTCAAAGTTTTCAAATTAGATAATATTCACTTACAACCCCAATATGAAGTATAGCCTATTATTTACAATATGATCTTTTGCTTGGAACTTACCAGAAAAGCATGAGATATATTCTAATTATAACAAATCAGTTAAAAACATTACTTTATCAAATATTATTAATCTTTTATCATCTTACTCATTATGTCAGGGTATTGCCTCTGGTTCAAACATTTTTAAAAAACATATTCTTACAAAGTTGTACAACCCAAGTGTTTCTTCAAATACTACATTTGAGACTGAATTTAACAGGTCAACTTTGTGTTTGTTATTGATAAAATCTGGTAATATTTGTAATGAATGTAAAACTTTGGAATTGTCACATAATAAACATCATAAGGCTGTAAAACGTTAAGCTGAAACAATCACAAAACCTGCTCAATTGAATGCCCCAATCTCATTAACTTCACCTGATAGAATTAAACTTACCTTGCAAAACTATCGATCTGAAAATGCTTTTTTAAAACAAGAAATAAAAATTATGCAAGAAGAAATTCAAAAAAATTCATTTCAAGTAACCTCTGACCTTGATGATGATATGAAAAGTCTAATGTCAATAGCTTTTGAAAAATATGTTTCACCATTTATGAAGTTCTTTTGGAATGAGCAACAAAAATACTTATTATCAAATCCAACATCTGTTCGATATCATCCTATGATTATATGGTATTGCTCAAGTCTTTGTGCAAAGTCTCCTAGCGCATATGAGGATATTCGCTTTGATAAAAAGTCTGGTACTGGTTTTCTTGTATTACCAAGTCGTCGTCAACTTCGTGACTACAAGAATTGTATTCATCCTCAACGTGGTTTCAATCCTGATATTGTAAAAGAGTTGAAATCAAAAGTAAAAGATTTTAGTGAAATATAAAAATATTTTGTATTGTTGTTTGATGAAATTAAAATTCAAGAAAATCTTGTATGGGATAAACACACAGGAGAAATTATAGGATTTGTTGACCTTGGTGATATTGATTTAAACTATGCAACTTTACAAAAAGTTGATGCAGTTGCAACTCATGTTCTAGTATTTATGATACGCAGTATAGTTAATCCTTTTAGGTTTACACTTGCTAATTTTGCCACACTTGGAGTATCATCAACCCAAATTTTTCCATTATTTTGGAAAGCTGTTGCTATATGTGAACTGGAATGTAAGTTAAAAGTTATAGCAACAACTTGCGATGGTGCTGCTCCTAACCGAAAATTTTTAAAAATGCATTCACGTTTATCGAATTTTAATGATAAAAAAGATGTAGATGTCACATATAAAACTATTAATTTATATTGTCCTGAAAGGTATATTTACTTTATATCTGACCCCCCACATCTTCTTAAGACAACAAGAAACTGTATTTATAGCTCTGGTTCTGGTAAATGTACTAGATACATGTGGAATAATGGTTTATACATTCTATGGAGAATGATGAAAAAGATTTTAATGCTTATGTGTTACATAAGATTCTCGAACTAAAGTTCAATACTCATGTAAAATTTTTTACAATCTATTTTAATTCATAAAGATTTAGCTTTTTAAATAAAAGTAAGAAAAAAAAAAGAAAAAAAAAACCTAAAAAAAAAAAATTTGTGAAAAAACATTCTGACTTCAAAACATGATTGATCAGCATAATTTTAAACCTTGACCCTCCCTTATAGTTGCTTATTTCATATACTCTCAAAAAATATATATTGATCTTGTGCAAAATAAATGCTCCTGCTTAAAAATTTCTAACTGGGGAGAGGACTTAATAAATGGGTGGGTGCAAATTTTCATTAGTGCATTTATATTTATTTTAAGGTTAGTTTACTCTAAACGGTTTTTTTAGTTGTGAGATATGATTTTCTTGTTGATAACAAGTAAATTATAATAAACACTGATTTTTTAACTTAATTTTCTGCAAAAAAAAAATTTAATTAGCAAACTTAATAAGCTCAAAATAAATAGGAAAGTTTCTGAAAAAACTTGGAATATTGTAATAAAAACCATCTTGGCCCTAAATGTTATCTAAAAACTATCAACTATGTAAAGTTTCTAATCTCCACAAAATAAAATCTCTGTAAATTTTATATAGTTATATTTTGATTTCAACTCCCATTTATTAAAATTTTCTGCAAATAAAACCCTTATTTGACTAATTGGATTGATTGTAGAAAACTCTTTTCAATGAAAAGAAAACAATTTAATAAAAAAACTAGTAATATATATATATTCTGATACCACAAAAATGTTTTTAGCCATTTGTAGCTATGAAAATAGCTGTTTTAAAAATTGAGATAATATCAGATAATTGTTTTCAATTGTCAAATGTGAAATTTACATATTGTTGATTATATACATACTTATTAATATACATATTAATAAGTATTCTTCTTTTTTAGTGAAGTTCGCAGGGACTTAGACTTGAGTTGTTGAACTTTAATTTTGTAAGCCTGTAGATTATCCTTGACATAGGAAAATGTCCTTGCTTTCACATACAAATTCAAGATGTTTTCAAGAACATTTAATAAAACTTCTTTATTAACAAAAGTATCAGTTTCACTTCTAATTCTTGAAAAATTAGATAAAACATTTGTATCTTTAAGAAGTAAGGATAGAATATCTTTGCTGTCAATTTTATTGATAGACTTACTAACCATTTTTTTAAAGGTTGTTTCAGCGGTAATAAAAATACAAATTGCCTCAATTTTCATTTTCCACAACCTTGATCTGTTACGCGTGTTAACAAGTTTGTGCTCAGGCAAATCATCGCTTCCCTGATATTTAGCAGCAAGTAAAATAGATATACACTGTTGATAGTATTCTTCCTTATAAATATCTGAAAACCTGATGCGACGATATAATGTTCTAAAAACATACCCACATAAAGGATAGGGCTGATATAGAACCTTGAGGAACCCCTGAAGTTACAAGAAATGAAGAAGAGTGCTGTCTAATGAAGACAACTTTTATATTACAATTGGTAAGAAAGGATTCAACAATCTTAAAGATGTTACACCGTAAGAGGAGAGCTAATAAAAAAGACCAGCATGCCTAACTTTATCAAAGGCTTTAGAAATGCAAGAGAAATAGTCCTAACCTCTTCACATCTATCTAATGCATGATAAAACCTTTAGGTTACCGTTAACAAATCAGCAGTAGAAAAAGAAGATCAAAATCCATATTGATGATTCGAAAGTAAGTTATTAGACTCTAGATAAAAGATGAAGTGTTTTTTAGTTAAAGACTCTGGCTTTTGGGTAGAAAAATCGAAAAGAGTCCCAGTCAGCTTTAAGGTAGTTGTAAGAGGTATAATGATAGGGGGATTCTGATGATGGAAAATAATGAAATAATAGTTTTAGAGATATCAAACCATAATCAGAAGCACCTAAGGGTGAATGTGGAGAAACTGAGCACTGAATAGGATTATAAACAAGACAAAAGTCTAGTAGAGAAGGTAAATGATTCAGATTGTCTGGAAAGTGAGTTAGAGATTGCTAGAGATTGAGAAAGGCAAAAGTTGTGGGCCTTAACACCTGCAGAGTCATTAAAGTCACCAACAACAACAATATTGGCTGAATGATAAAGTGAAACAACTTGATCAATTTAATCAGAAATAACATGGAAAAGAATGCTACACTGAATTGGTGCTAAACTAAAGCACATAAAATAACAGTCTGTAGATTAAAACTTAGTTTTACCCAACAAATAGGTAAATTCTTATGAATGTAAATGCCCAGACCAAGCATGTTACTATTAGAATCTTTACAAATTAAAGATAACCGTATGCATTCAACGTCGACCCAAGATGAGCACTTTTATCGAGACACCATTACTAGCCTTTACTCTATCAAGAGCCTTGGGGCTTTTGGTAGAGTAAAAGCTAGTGATGGTGTCTAGAGTTGGCGTCTAGATATAGTAAAACTATCAAAGTTCTTTTATTCAATGTATACTCCCCCTTTACATTTCATTGAGCTAAAGAAATGGCACTTCAGATGAATTTTGTCTCTGTAAACTTTGTAACGAGTAGAGTGACAAAGGAAGAGCAGAGATCTTAAGACAGAATTCAAATAACAAAACAAGATTTTTAGGTAACAATACACTAACAGTAGAAGTTGAAGTTGTCTGTCAAAAAAGTGAAAGTTATTAAAAACAAATTCATTGTTACTAAAAAAAAACATTTTTTTCAATAATTTTCTTCTGTTTTTAACCTAAAGTTTTAACAAGCGAACTGCTTGTGTATATTTATAATTATTATAATAATATTTTTTTAAGGCAAAAAAAATCTTCTTCACATGCTTCACGTCACAAAACCACCTCATTCTAGATTACTTTTTGTAAACTTAAATATTGTGTTCAAATATATATACAGTCACGGACAAAATTAAGTAACATTATTGATAAAATCGAAACTCAAACAATAAAAACAAAATTATTTAAGTCAGGATCTACGCAACTGCAATAACTTTGTTTTTTTAAAAATTTGATTCCAAAGAAAAAAAAAAATATTTTTAACTCTTTATAACTCATTGCAAAAGTAACTCTATTAAACGAAATTAGCTATCTTACAACTTTTTTGTCCAAAATAAATGCGCCATAAGTAAGAAGCATCTTTTTTTATTATGAGTTTTTATTATGAAATATAATGTTTTGTCAGTAATATATACTAAAAATACAAGAATATCATGTCTGATTTTCATTTTAGTACTTTGTTGCACCACCTTTTGCTTTCATGACTGCTTCTAAACGTCTTGGCATGCTTTTTACAAGCTTTGACGTGACGTCAGTACCAATTGAATTCCAAGTTTCACTAAGAACCTCAAAAAATTCTATTTTATTTGTTCGTTTTGAAGAAGGTATTTTAGATTTTAAAATTGCCCATAAATTTTCAATGGGGATAAGGTCCGGGCTTTGTGGTGGCCATTTAAGGATGTTAACTTTACTTTTTTTGAGGAAATGTTGTGCCACTTTGCTGGTGTGTTTGGGGTCATTGTCTTGTTGAAAAAAGAACTTGCGATCTAAATTCATTTTTTAGCGGATTGACATAAATGTTTGGAAAGCAAATCAACATACAATTGTCCTGTCATAATACCTTCAACATTCACCAGTCTTCCCACACCATTTGAAGCAAAGCATCCCTAAACCATAATTGAGCCACCTCCATGCTTGACACTTTTTCTAATATTTCTATCTAAGAGTGCATCACAAGGTCTGCGCCAAACTCTTTGTCGTTTTTTAAAGCCAAATATTTGAAATTTACTCTCATCAGACCATAACACTGAGTTCCAAAATGCCTCATCCTTGTTAATATGCAGTTTTGCAAATGCTAAGCGTTTTTTTTTTGTTTATACCACTAATGAGAGGTTTACTTTTTTGAAGACGGTTTATTAAACCACTTGAATTAAGTCTTCTACTGTACAGTTCAACTGGAAACATTTAATTTAAGATTTTCAACAATCTGTCTTGAGGTTATTGTTGAATTTTGTTTTGCTATTCGCGCAATTAGCATATCAGTTCTTGTTGAAGTCTTAGGGGGGCGACCAAATCTTTTCTGATTTTCAACAGAACCAGTTGTTTCAAATTTTATACACATCTTTCTAACACCACTTATCGATATTTGATATTTTTCTGCACATTGCTTGTAGGTTAGGCCCTATTTTCGATCACAAATGACCCGAGATCGGATGTCCAATGAATAATTTTGATGATAAACCATTATTATTGTTAGTTTTACTTTTTCTAAAAATAAATTCCAAAAAAATAAAGTTTAAAATGCTTATTTTTAATAAATTTAACAAAATCTCTTTAATAATAATCATTTTTAATAAATAGCTATTGACAAACATTATATTTCATAATAAAAACTCAAATGTTTCTTACTTTTGTCACATTTATTTTTGAAAAAAAATTTGTGAGATAGCTAATTTTGTTTAATAGATTAACTTTTGCAAGGAATTATAAAAAGTTATAAATGTATTTATTTTTCTTAGGAATCAAATTTAAAAAAAACATAAAATTATTGCAGTTATGTAGATCTTGACGTAAATAATTTTCTTTGTATTGTTAGAGTATCAATTTTATCAACAATGTTACTTAATTTTGTCCGTGACTGTATATATATATATATATATACATATATATATATATATATATATATATATATATATATATATATATATATATATATATATATATATATAATATATATACATATATATATGTATATATATATATATGTATATATATATATATATATATATATATATATATATATATATATATATAAACAAAATATCTATAAAAAAATAAACCAACCTTAGTCATTCTGTTTAATATTCCATCTTGACGCTCATATGGTGTCAAATGTATTGTATCTAGAATAACACTTGAAGAAATATCGGTTTCAGATTTACTTTCATTTTTTATTTCATTTGTGTTCAAACCAAAGTTACATTCTGTTTTATTGATTTTTTCAGGATGTTTATTTTCAAATTCAGTAGAAAAAGTATTTAATGGAATCCCTTTACAATTTTCATTTTCTAATAAATTTTCTTCATTTTTTTCCCTTGATTTTGTTGTTTTTATTGAACTTTTTTCACAGAGCGGTTCATCAAAATCTGTTTGATTAATAACCTAAACATAAATAATTGTTAAAATAATTTTAATGAAATCTTTTTTCACTACAATTTTTTACAACAACAAATGGCAAATTCCATTATAAAAACAATTTTATTTTTTTTATGGCTCCACTATAAAAATTAACATTTATTACCAATTTTTAAAATTAATTTAAATTGTAAAAACACAAGAATCAGTTATTTTGAAAACCTCATTTTTGGATTCAAGTGTTGGGGACTAAAACAAACAAAGATTGAAAACACCAAATCTGTCTAATTTTAAATGTAATGTTAGTTTCAGCTGTTAAAAATTTACTTTAAATCTTCGTACATCAAATTTTATAAAAGCAGAATGAAGAAAAAATTATGAAAAAGTTTCTTATTCTGTAAACAGTTGCTGTGAAATATATGTTGTGTTATAAACAGCTTGTATGTTTGTTATACATTCAAGTTTGTTTAAAACACATTTTAATATTCTTTTACAATATGGAAGAGAACAGTTCAGTAAATTTTTCCAAAAAAAAATCATTAAATCAATTATTTCACCATAAAATATGGTAATTTACAACAACAAATTATAAACAAACAAATAAGGTTAGGTATCACATGTCTAGATTAAAACTAGTCAATGGAGTGATACCTTATAAAACTTACAATAAATAAAACATAGAGAAAATTTGAAAATAAATAAATGAATAAAAAGAAGAAAAAAAAGGTAAACAATGAAAACTAACATGAGATGATAGAAGAAAAAAAAGGTAAACAACGAAAACTAACATAAGATGATAGAAGAAAAAATAGTTAAACAATGAAAACTAAGAAAAAATAGGTAAACAATGAAAACTAAGAAAAAAAAGGTAAACAATGAAAACATAAGATGATAGAAGAAAAAAAGCTAGTACTACAATGGAACCATTATTACTATCATTATAAATAATATTAATAAGTCAACTAAAGAAATTATATATAAATAATAATAACAATAATAGTAATACATATATAATAATAAACTCGAGCTGGGATAGCTCAGTTGGTTAAAGCGCTGCTACAAAGTTTGGAATAATTATTGGCCGTAGCAGCAGGATTGCAGGTTCAAATCCCGGCTCTGCCTACTCAGCGAATGAGTAGTACTTTGGTACGAAGGGAACTCGTCTTGATTAGCTCTGCTATTACGATGTTTCCTTCTTGACTAGTAAATAAATAATCTAGTCAAGTAAAAGAAAAAATTCGTTTAACAAAGTTAAAAAAAAATAGTATGAAATAAAAAATAATAATAGCTTTATTAATACAGTAATATATTAAAGCAATAATAATAAAAGAAAAAAAAAATAATATAACAAAAATGTCATAATTCTTATGGAAGTAGACTGTAAACTGTTTATCCAATTTAATTGGAGACTTCTTTTTTGAACCCAAACAATCCAACAATACCTTATATGGGAGGAGAACAAACAATAGTAAACTGATATTAGAATATGATTGGGAAGTGTCATATTAATAACAACATACTAATTTGGAACAGCCACATTAAAAGGATGAAACTTATTTGAATGATGGGTAACACAAGAATGAATCTTAGTAAATAGCATAAGAGATGCTAGCCCTTTAGAGCAGTGGCCATTATAGTATTTATAAAAAAGAGAAAGAAAAGAAGCATTTATATGACATGGCAATAGTTGAAGCTGCAAGAGCAGGTTCAACTATTTTAAAATGCGTTTTTCCACCTTGTCTAAAAAGAAAATGACATCATTCAAAGGTCTGCTCCAGATATGGCAACAGAATTCCATACAAGGACGAATGAGAGATTTATAGAGATAAAGAATAGAATCCGAAGTAAAAAAGTGGCAAGCACAATAAGTTCACCAGCCACTAAGAAGCCCATGCTTCAGCACAGGGCTCTTAGTGGCTAGTGAACTTAGTGGCTCTTTTTCAATATCAAATGCTCCAAGCAATCTCGGAGTGTTGACTTCTTATCAAGACAAGAATAAATGGTAGAGTATAATATGTAGACAATGCCACCTTAGATGTAAGAATTTCTTGATATAGAACCTTGAGGAACCCCTGAAGTTACAGGAAATGAAGAAGAGTGCTGTCTAATGAAGACAACTTTTATATTACGATTGGTAAGAAAGGATTCAACAATCTTAAAGATGTTACACCGTAAGAGGAGAGCTAATAAAAAAGACCATCATGCCTAACTTTATCAAAGGCTTTAGAAATGCAAGAGAGATAGTCCTAACCTCTTCACATCTATCTAATGCATGATAAAACCTTTAGGTTACCGTTAACAAATCAGCAGTAGAAAAAGAAGATCAAAATCCATATTGATGATTCGAAAGTAAGTTATTAGACTCTAGATAAAAGATAAACTGTTTTTTAATTAAAGACTCTGGCTTTTGGGTAGAAAAATCGAAAAGAGTCCCAGTCAGCTTTAAGGTAGTTGTAAGAGGTATAATGATAGGGGGATTTTGATGATGGAAAATAATGAAATAATAGTTTTAGAGATATCAAACCATAATCAGAAGCACCTAAGGGTGAATGTGGAGAAACTGAGCACTGAATAGGATTATAAACAAGACAAAAGTCTAGTAGAGAAGGTAAATGATTCAGATTGTCTGGAAAGTGAGTTAGAGATTGCTAGAGATTGAGAAAGGCAAAAGTTGTGGGCCTTAACACCTGCAGAGTCATTAAAGTCACCAACAACAACAATATTGGCTGAATGATAAAGTGAAACAACTTGATCAATTTAATCAGAAATAACATGGAAAAGAATGCTACACTGAATTGGTGCTAAACTAAAGCACATAAAATAACAGTCTGTAGATTAAAACTTAGTTTTACCCAACAAATAGGTAAATTCTTATGAATGTAAATGCCCAGACCAAGCATGTTACTATTAGAATCTTTACAAATTAAAGATAACCGTATGCATTCAACGTCGACCCAAGATGAGCACTTTTATCGAGACACCATTACTAGCCTTTACTCTATCAAGAGCCTTGGGGCTTTTGGTAGAGTAAAAGCTAGTGATGGTGTCTAGAGTTGGCGTCTAGATATAGTAAAACTATCAAAGTTCTTTTATTCAATGTATACTCCCCCTTTACATTTCATTGAGCTAAAGAAATGGCACTTCAGATGAATTTTGTCTCTGTAAACTTTGTAACGAGTAGAGTGACAAAGGAAGAGCAGAGATCTTAAGACAGAATTCAAATAACAAAACAAGATTTTTAGGTAACAATACACTAACAGTAGAAGTTGAAGTTGTCTGTCAAAAAAGTGAAAGTTATTAAAAACAAATTCATTGTTACTAAAAAAAAACATTTTTTTCAATAATTTTCTTCTGTTTTTAACCTAAAGTTTTAACAAGCGAACTGCTTGTGTATATTTATAATTATTATAATAATATTTTTTTAAGGCAAAAAAAATCTTCTTCACATGCTTCACGTCACAAAACCACCTCATTCTAGATTACTTTTTGTAAACTTAAATATTGTGTTCAAATATATATATATATATATATATATATATATATATATATATATATATAATATATATATATATATATATATATATATATATATATACATATATATATATATATATATGTATATATATATATAAACAAAATATCTATAAAAAAATAAACCAACCTTAGTCATTCTGTTTAATATTCCATCTTGACGCTCATGTGGTGTCAAATGTATTGTATCTAGAATAACACTTGAAGAAATATCGGTTTCAGATTTACTTTCATTTTTTATTTCATTTGTGTTCAAACCAAAGTTACATTCTGTTTTATTGATTTTTTCAGGATGTTTATTTTCAAATTCAGTAGAAAAAGTATTTAATGGAATCCCTTTACAATTTTCATTTTCTAATAAATTTTCTTCATTTTTTCCCCTTGATTTTGTTGTTTTTATTGAACTTTTTTCACAGGGCGGTTCATCAAACTTTGTTTGATTTTGTTTAAATTTGTCTTTATTATTAATTAGTTCCTGTGGTTCATTGTTTATTTTTTGAAGATTAATTAAATGTTCTTGATAATTGCATTCTGTTTTAGTATTTTCCTCTAGATAATGTTGAGTTTCAAAATTTTCATGGGAATAATATGGTTGGGAACTAACAATAAAACTATTATTATTGGTGTAACAGTTGTTAGAATTATTTTCATTTTTTTTATGTCTAGAATGCAGCCTATTATTATATAAAGTAAGTTTATTGTTGTCATTGGATTTAGTGTTTTTTGTTTTATTTGAATTAGATATATTATCAGTTTTTGGATTAAACATAGCAATGGCAGGGTCATAATTATCAGAAATTCCATCACTACATAGAAAGACAATATCATCTTTTTCAATTATGACAAAGGAGCAAGTGAGGTTACCAAGATCTGGGTTAAACCCATCTGCTGGTCCAAGAGACCCACCACTAAACCTCATATCTCTCTCCTTACCTATTGGATGAGAACCACATGTAACTTCTTTTACACCAGTTTTCTTATTATAAAAGTAAGCGTAAGAGTCACCAACATTTATAACACAAAGTGCCCACCTATCTTTTTTCTCCTGAAGTTGCACAACAACACCAACACATAATGTGGTCAACGTGGCTTCTTTATCAACTATTACTTCCTGAGCACTTTTAAAAGCATCCAATATGTGTTTGAACACATCCTTTGTTGTAAAACATTTATCAATATTCTTACATAAATAAATGGTTGCACCATAAATTGCAGAATTTGACGAAAGCTTTGATTTTTTTCCCCAGCTCACTCCATCAGCTAGAGAGAGTATACTACAACTTTGGTATGTTACAATTGCAAAAGCATCAGCTATTGGATCACCTGTGGAAGTGTTTGAGTTTAAATCTTTTTCATATAAACTAAAAGCATGGCCATATGCAAATTCTTTTATAGTTTCCCAATCATAAATTCCTGAGAAAATTTGTTATGATAATAAAATAATGACAATAAAATAAAAAAATGACAATAAAATAATAAAATTACAGCACACACATAACTGTATGTATTGTAATTGGCTAACAACAATTATAATAATTAGTTTAAACAAAATTACTTAGAACTAATTATGTTGAGCTAATTTTAAGCAAAATAGAAGACCAGAAATTTAAACATAAGTTATGTATAACATCTTACATCAATAATAATATTACTGAACTTAATAATAGTAGTACCCAAATATTATGGCTTCCAAAACTTTATACTATGCAAAACTATTGTCTTTGTAAATTTAAAAAAAATGTAGTGATAAAATTATACTAAATATATAATATTAGAAAATAATAAATATTGTAATATATTTAAATCAAATTTTATATAATATATAAAATAAAACTTTTCGTTTTGTTTTGTTTAAAATAAAATAAGTTTTAGTTACATCAATTTAGAATTAAACCTTGTGAAAGAATAAGCAGAATTACTTCACATTACCTCCTGATAATGTTTAGTGAGTTTTTATATTATCAGATAAGTGTTTTGCAATAGCGGTAAAATGCCAAATTATATAAATTAGAGAAAAATGATTATATGTGTTACACAATTTACATGTAAAATATGTGAAATGCTTAAGGTTATTTCGATTGCATAAGATCTTATTTATGTTTTTTCATTTTCAAAAAGCAAATTGTTTTAAAATTATAACTGATAGTGCCATGCGCAACTTTCTCTTTTCAACTTTGTTTCTCTGCGCTCATGTTTTGACAAGTTTTGAACCAAACTCATGTTTTGACAAGTTTTGAACCAAACTCATGTTTTGACAAGTTTTGAACCAAACTCATGTTTTGACAAGTTTTTTTTTTCAAGTTTTGAACCAAAGGGTTGAGAGAGCAACAACAAATTTGAAAAAAAAAAAAAAACTTTTTTGATTAGAAAAATTTTTAATTCTACATTCAATGTTTATTTATAACAGAATCCTTTAGATCTCCTGCGCTATGAAAATTCAGTAATGTTTTTATGTTTTAGTCCATGGCCTGCTATCTAAAAAATTGCTTATTATTAAGGTCTTCTTTAAAATATTAACAATTAATAACAACTTTAAAAAAAAGTGTTGTTTTAAATTGAATCAAAAATTAAATTAAAAAAAAAAATTAATTTTATTGCCCAATCAAAATGTTTAAAATTTAAATATTATAGATGATGCATAAAATAAAAGTTGTGAAATTGGATATTAAATATGAACAATAAGTTCAATAACTGAACCATGACAACAGCATATTGTGACAGCTGTCAAAAGTTAAGTTTTATGTATTATAATTTGAAAATATGTTTGAAAAAGTTAAAAACTGTACCTTTGAATTTCTAAAAAAATTAAACAAACTTACAAAATACAGCAGAGCGTTGGAGTGGAGATAGCAAACTACTTTCAAAAGAACTTTAAAAAAATTTACATCTCAAGAACCATTTGCTTAAAAGCCACGGGATATATAACCCAAGTTTTTGGATTTGAAATTCAATTTAGCATTTAATAACTTTAATGGCTTTATTAAAACTTTATAACAATGAATTTTTATTTTTTTTATTTTTATACCTTTGAATGAATTTATAATTTTTTTTTTATTTTTCTTTATTTAAATTTGTTTTCAACAAACTTTAATAAACAATGTAAAAGCTTTTTACATTGTTTTTTTACTTTTTAAAATTTTAATAAAAAAGTAATAACAAAAGTAAATTGTCAAGACATATTTAATATAAAATACCTGAGAGTGAGTCATGTCTCATTAATAGACAAAAATTGTCTACTAATGAGACATGACAATGAAATAAAGCAAACAAAAAAAATGTTAAATATTGAAATTTGCATATCCTATCCTCAATGTTTTCACGCACTTTTTCTGACCTTAAATATAATAGAGGAAAACCTAAAGACATTTGACTGGTTGACAGTTTCAATAACTTATCTTAGTTGTACTGCTTGTAAGTCCACAAATTATTTAGATGCCAAAAAAAACTCAGGGATTAAAATTAGCTAGCAAGTGACACTTAGTAACATCAAAAAGTCAAGTAAAGAAAAAAAAACTACAACAACAATCAATGAGGTTTTACGTGAATAACTGTACATAAAAAAAGCTTAAAAAAAAACAAAAAAAAACAAACTATTACTCTGTATAAAAAACAAGCTGTAGAGATATTAGGCTGATAAAGATTAATTAGCATGAACTACTTACCATGTATTTTGCATTATGCATGGCATTCGAAAAATGGATTGTTTATTTTCTGATTTGAAAAAACTAATTGCTATTTAGTATATTTTTGACAAATCAATAAACACAGCCTTTTTTTATAGTAAAATCTTTTATAAGCTCTTTACTTAGTTTTGGTTTTGACAATAATTTTTATCACATAACTACAATATTTATTATTGCTTAATTTTGTTTTACTTGTGATGGTTCTTCTAATAAGTTTGGTTAAAAAGCCATTGGCCATAACATGTTTTCTTTTAAATCAGTTTAATGTGTCAAATCAAATTCTATAGAACAAAATCTATATGAGCATATAATTGTCATTCAGTATGGAATCTTTGATTACTGTCTATTATGCAGCATTGCATCTTTTATGAATCTTTATTAAACATGAAAATCTAAAACATTATGAAAGAGATTCAATGCAATACAAAAAAAGTGTATGGCATCAACTTTATATTAAACATGGGGCCTAAGATATATGCTATGATAGAGTTAGCTATAAGCATTGAAACAGCTTTCTGAAAAGATTAAATTTTTCACTTAACTGAAGAACTTTGTGAAGTGTAATTCAATATATGAGAAATAAATTCAGTAAAAATTATTTGCAAATACTTATTAATTTGCAACAGAAATATTTTTAATTTAAAGAAATATTTTAATTTAAAATTGCAAATAAGTGATGTTTCTAAAATCAGGAAGAGTTTATTAGAATATTAAGTGAAAATCAACAAGAACTGCACATAAATTGTTTAAAAAAAAAAAACACAATCCAGAAGAAAAAGATTTGCTGAAAATTTTGCAAATTTTTGTTAAACAAATGTTTTGCAAAATAATGGCCATGCTTTGGAGATGATGACACTGAACAATCAGCAAAAACTGCCAACATTTGTTAAAGTATGGCAGTCCAAGCATTTCACCAGTTGCCATTGTTGACTGTAAATTCTAAATGATCTTTAGCTTTTTAGCACTGATATAAATGCCTTAATTGTTTATACATTAAAATGCAGGCAGTTCTTCTCAACTATGAGCACATTATTATTTTCTTTAGAAAACTCCTTTTTAATAACAAAAATTGTGTCAAGTTTAAAAATTATTTTGTTATTAGGTCCATCAATTAATAAATTTAATTTAAAAGATTATCTTATACAGTGGTTTGTAAAAAGATGCTAATTTCAGAAATTATTCTTACATTAAAGTTCATAAATGAATGTGAAACATTTGGAAAAATATTTTAACAAACAAATTTTATTTAACTTATAAAATTAACAAATGTAAATAAGTGATAAAAACTTATGCCTTTTAATTGGCTATTGATTATAAATTAAGGTCATTATTTTACAGTGAGTTTCACTTAAAAAAGACTGACCCACGGTTATTGTTTTAACAATAAGTGTTTATAATCCTTTATTAGATATACTAAAAACAAAATTTATAATATCTTTCATACAGTCTGAAGCTGATTTTTAAAATAAGTTGGTGGTTATAAAATCCTCAGTCAATGTAGCGGCACTGCTTTCATGTTCTACCTAAGGGTTAGGCACTGTTTACACTACCTATAGGTAGTGTAAGCAGAAAGCTCCTAAATAGACCTATTTAAGCTAGTCAATGTATGTATACTTCCTACATATTCTAACTACTTATTTACTTTATGTATATACACTTGTTCTACCAATTTAATTCAGTCAATGTATGTACGCTCCCTACATGTTATAACTTTTCAAGTCAGTGAATGTCTGCATAATAAGACAGTAAATTTTTGACTTTTTTTTTCAGAATATATAATGACCAAGGTCCTATACTATGAGAAAAAAGTTGAAATGAGTTAATATATATTTATTTTTGGTTTCCTTTTTTAAAAAAATATAAGAGATGTTTACAGGGATGGAACTTCTGTTTTTTTCTCAGTCACCCCACAGTAGGGAATGACACCTGTGGGACAAATGGAATATTGTATGTTTTACTTGAGTCCTTTATTACGATAATTGGAAACTCAGCATTTTTAATTTTTTTGGGTATTTTTTCTTGAGTAAAAAAAGTGAAAAAAAAGTATTTAATACTAAAATACAAGAATAATAACTGTTTAATTAAAAATAAATTATCAATTAAAAAAAATGAAATTGACTATAGGGAAGTAATCAAATGTTAAAAATATGTTACAAAATGTTAAAATCAAAAGTTAAAAACTGTTATTAACAAATGTTAAAAACTGTTATTAACAAATGTTATTAAGTAATTCTATTTTATATTTAGTTACAAAGAGATATCATATCTAAAAACGATTAAAAAAAAAAAAAAATTGATTATCTAATAAGGTTTGAAAACTTTTTCAAAAAAAATATTTTTCCATTCTTAAGGGAAAAAAAAAGGTTTTTTTATTTGTTTTCACATATTATATACATAGATGAGTATATACATAGATTTGACTTAATGAATATCCCGGAAAATTATTTTATTAAAAATTGATCGTTTTAACAGACAACAAAAACTTTCGTAAACTTTTAAAACGGAATTTAGATTATTTAACTTTTTACAAAAAGGAATTTTTAATATTTGAAAAAGAATATCGAATTTGAATGAATTAAAGAGTTTGAATGAATTAAAGAATTTGAATGAATTAAAAAGCAAAAGAAAAAACATTGTTACGAAAATTTATCTCGTGAAAATTTTAATTATAGAAAACATATTTGTTTAAATGCATAAGTTGGCGTATTTAAAATTTTATGTAAAAATATA